ATTCTATTGTTTCTACATCTATGGAGAACTCTGACTATTTCTTTCCTCTTGAAATCTCCCTCCCAACTCTCTGGAAACTTATTTTACATTTTAAATAAAATACTATGAATCACTTCTTTCTGAAACACGTCCCCTTTACCTGATTGCCTTCCAAGGTAATGCTAGGTCATGTGACAAAAATAAGAGTTTGCTGCTAATAGGATCTTCTAAATTCACAACACTGAGGAGTGTACACTTCATATTTGGGTTACTATAGGACTGTGATAGAGGCACTAAAGATACTTCAATACATCCTTTCTCATTATTTATTGAGTCTTCAATTTTAGGTTTTTATCAATTGACTATCTTAGAATATAACTCCTTCAGCCTGTTGCACAATTGGTAATCATTGCCCAGGGAACTCCTTTCCTTCTTTATTGGCTTATGTCTATATTACTCAGGGTCAGGTCAGAAAAAGAGAAATCACACTATTTCAGTGAGAGTGACATTAATACTGGGACCTGGATATATAAGTAAAAGAAATACCAGAAGCACAAGCAGCGGAAAGTGAAACAATCAACACTTAGAAACATCTGAAAACATCTGCCACTTCCTTTTGCTAATGAAACAATAGAAAAAGGAAGTTTTACCTGTGCACAGAGACCAAGGAATTCTAGAACCAGCTAGCACCTTGATAAGAGGGACAATAGGGAGCTTCCCTATAAAACTGTGATAACAGAGAAAGGAACTGTTATTGGTAATTCGACACCACACAGAGACGGAATTGCTGCCTGAGATACCACTTTAGAGAAAGCTGGAGAGAGGAAAAAAATACCCTGGCTTCTTGAGTTTCCTGTCCTCCAAGCTTCTGCTAGTAGCTTTCATTGGCTACAATTATCAGGAAGCCAGTTTTCATGAAAATCTTGAAATTCGAGAACCGTGATATACAGAGAAGGGCAGAAGAGATATGAGAGTAAACATGCAAATGAAAGGCTTCTAGATAATAAATGTTGTATTTCTTCTTTTTCTCACCAACTCTTGTTACTTCATTTTTTTGTACCCTAAATGCATTGGTTCACACTCCCACTTCAATATTGGACAGAAATAGCAATAATGGACATTCATATTTATTTCTGATTTTATTTTAAACAGAATGATACAAAAATTGCTCCATTTTTAATGAGATGTTCTGTGGTGTATTTCTTGGTGAGTATGTATACTTTATAAGTTTAAATGAGTTACCTTCAATTTCTAGTTTGCTCTAAATAGTTACCAAAAATGGTTACTAACCGCACATATTCTTATAAGTTTTTACTTACCAATAAAAATGATTCCATAATTCTCCCTTTAGTCAGTAAATCTGACAAATGTATTCATGTATTTCTGTTGTTAAATCAACGTGGTATTTCTCAGGACAAATCCTATTTTTTCATGTTACATCGTTTTTTTATCTGTTGCTGAATTTAATATTAATTATTAATACACTTAAATTTTTCATCTTTGTTCATTGGTCTGTATTTATTTTTGTAATTTTTTTTTTTACATATTGTATTACGTTTAAAGACTAAATAGAAAAAGTTTCAGAATATTCCTCATCTCTGTTGCCTAGATTTCTGTAATAAAGGAGTGACCTACACACTGAGAATTTGACAGAACTAGTCTACACCTTCGGTGCTGGTATTTGTTCTTTACTCCTTCAATTACTTCAAAGTTATGTGATTATTCAGGATGTTTATTGCTTCCGGACTTAGCACTAGTAAGTTATATTTTTCTAGATATATGTATATTTCTGCCTATGATTTAAATTTATTTAAATGTTATTAATTATGAACTCTCATTTTCTTTCTAATCACTGTTATATCTGTCAGTAATTTTATATTCATTCTTACATTTATTTTCTGGGTGACATTTATTTTCCCTGGCAAGCCGGCATAGTAGTTGATAAATTATTATTTTAAAAGAACAATTTTTTAGATCCTCTTCATTGGCTATTTATACATTTTATTTATTTATTTTCTTATTATATACTTTAAAACCATTGGCGTTATTATTTTGTTGTTCTCTAACTCAATAAAACTCTACTTTCTTCTTTCAAGCTATTCATTTTCCTTTATATAAAACATTTGTTGCATCTACCAAATTTTGATATGTACAACTTTATTATTTCTAGTGCTAAAAAAGCTTGCATATTTTCATTATAAAGGACTGTTTAATAGATTTTCTACACAGATGGAAGTATATAATCAGTACTATCTAATGTGATAGCTACTAGCCAGATGCGGTTACCGAATACTTGAATGTGCCCAGTGCAACTGAGAAACTGAATTTTTTATTATATTTACTTTAATTAATTTAAATTTAAATAGCCACATGCAGCTAATGCTTACTTCAATGGACAGCTCAGTATATAAAATGAGACATTATCTTATAGAGGATGGTTATAGAACAGAAATATTTTGAAGCAAGAGTTATACTAAAGGCATCATGCTCCCTAATTTCAAACTATATTACAAAACTCTAAAAATCAAAACAGTATGATTTTGGAATAATAACAAACATAGATCATGGAACAGAATACAGAGCCCAGAAATAAGCCTACACATATATGGTCAATTAAATTACGACAAAGTAGCCAAGAATATACAATGAGGAAAGAATAATCTTTTCAATAAATGGTGCTGGGAAAATTGAACAACCACATGCAAAAGAATGAAACTGGATCACTGTCTTATACCATATACAAAAAATAACTTAAAATGTATTAAGAACTCAAATGTAAGATCTGAAACCATTAAATTCATAGAAGAAAACATAAGTGATAATCTTCTTGACATTGGTTTTAGCAATAATTTTTGTTAATCTGACACCAAAAACAAAAGCAACAAAAGTGAAATTGAGCAAGTGGGACTAGATCAAACTAAAAAGCTTCTGCACAGCAAAGGAAACCATGAACAAAATGAAAAGGTAATCTATTGAATAAAAGAAGTTGCAAATCATATATCTGATAAAGAGTTAATATCAAAAATGTAAAGAACTCATACAACTCAACAGTAGAAAAACAATCAATTAAAAAATAGGCAGACGATCTGAATAGACATTTTTCTAAAAAAAGGACATACAAATGGCAACAGACATATAAAAAGATGCTCAATATCACTATTATCCAAGAAACGCAAACCACAACCACAATGAGATATTATCTCACATCTGTCAAAATAGCTATTATTAAAAATAAAATAATAATGTCAAATGTGTTGGTGAGGATGTGGAGAAAAAGGAACTCTTGTGTACTATTGGTGGGAATGTAAACTGGTGCAGCCACTATTTAATTCTTAAAATATAATAAAATTTTGCCACTTGCAACAACATCGATGTACACTGAGGTCATTGTGCTAAAAGAGAGAGACAAATACTGTTTGATCTCACCTACATGTAAAATTAAAACAACAACAACAACAACAAAACCAAAAAAAACAAGTTTATAGATATAGAGAACAGGTTGACATTTGCCGGGGGTGGGGGTGGGCAAAATGAGTGAAGGGGGTCAAAAGGTACAAACTTCTAGTTACAAAATAAATAAGTCCTGGGGATCTCATGTATAGCATGATAACTATAGTTAACAATACCGTATTGCATAATTGAAAGCTGCTAAGAGAGTAGATCTTAAAAGTTCTCATCACAAGAAAAAAATTTTTTAACTATGTATGGTGACAGATATTCACTAGAATTTTTGTGGCAATCATTTAGCACTGTATAAAAATACTAAATCATTATATTGTAGACTTGAAACTTATATAATGTTATATGTCGATTCTACCTTAAGAAAATAAATAATAAGAGTAACAATATACTGCAGACTGGAAAATACCAGGCTGGGAATAGGAAAAATGTGGCATATAGAAAAATCATAGCAAAATATTGTAAAATAAAAAAAAATAAATAAAGCTGGAGTTTTTTAATAATGATTGTATGTTTGTAGGCTGATATATATCATCTAGTAGAGAGGTAAATCTTGATTCAAAAGAGGGAAAATCGCTGGAGTTTGGTCCTTGAGTAGACCAAACGTGAATGTGGATGGGATTGAGTGCACAAAAGGGAAGATTTACCATTAGGTAAATTGCTAACAGATTTAAAAAAAAAAAAATTTATGAGGAGCCTAAATATCCTTCTACAGCAGCAGTAGATGAAGCAGAGTATATGATTACACATGTAGATGTGATGATAAGAGCATGTAGTCATGCAACATATAATAATGTTTCAGTCAACTATGGAACACATATATGACAGTAGTCCCTTAAGATTATACTGGAGCTAAAAAATTCCATCATAGTTATCATAATATCATAACATTACTCACATGTATGTGGTGATGCTGGTGTAAACAAACCTACTGTGTTGCCAGTTGTATAGAAGTATAGAATATACAATTATAGACAGTATATAATACCTGATAATAATAATAAATGACCATATTACTGATTTATGTATTCAGTATCCTATAATTTTTATCATTATTTTAGGATGTACTCTTTCAACTTACAAAAAAAGACAGTTTGCTATAAAAAAGTATGTAATTTTATGCTGGTAGCAGCCTTATGCATCTTGTATTTACTGTATCTCTTGCTTGCATTATTTTCTCTTGTATGTGATTTAATCTCATGTTGTTTAATACAATAATGTGCTACATAGGCTTGTAGCCTAGGAGCAGTAGGCTATACCATACAGCCTAGGTGTAAAGTAGGCTATACTATCTTTGTGTAAGTATACTTTGTGATATTTGCATGATGACAAAATCATCTAATAACACATTTCTCAGAACATACCCATCATTACGTGGCACATAACTTTAATTTTTTCAATATCCAATTTCTTCTTCTTAATTATTGAATAATCTGTATTACTGGAGTTGGGAAATATTTCTAGTTTAAAACTAAATGTCATAACCACTCTCACTATAGCTTTGGCCAGTGAGAATAAGCATGACTGCCCGTGATCAGTAAAACATGCATTTTCTCACTTACCCATTCTCTGTGTACTTTAGAATGAGGAAAAAGTAGATTGAAGCTCCAACAGGAATCTCGTCTCTCTGGTGTACTCAGAATGGAAGATATTTACTATTGGTCTCTAATAAATCTGAAGCCACCAGAAGCAGACATGGACTGCCTTCCTCTAGATGTGTTTTACCTGAAAGAAAAATAAACCTCTAACTTGCTAACACATTTTTTTTAGTGTTTATCAAACACAATTATTGAAATAGACATATATTGGAAGTGAGGTGTTGATAGCAACACAAAGTAAAATGTGGCTGAACAAGGGTGGTGAGGAAGCATCATACAAGTTTTATATGGTTAAAGATAGAGTTGGTACTAAGAAATAATAAGTAATTAATAATAATTAACATTTGGCCAAACTACCACTTGATGTATATTTGATAATAGACCATTTGCTTACTAAAACTGTAAAACTAAAGAGAATAGTAGAAAATGTTTAGGACATTCTTTGTCGTAGCTTCTTCTTACTAATTTCAGTTAATTTCTGCAAATTTCTGCAAGGAAAAGATGAATTCAGGGTGAAGTTATTGAGGCTACAAGCAAAAATAAAAGGAAATACTGTTTTTGACAGCGGAGATGACATTGCCAGTGCCCTGCAATCAAAGTTCACTGAGAGTCCTATAATTTGGACCCCTGTACAGGGGGAAAAGCCAACTGACACTGCTCTGCAACCCAAACTGAAGCTCTTAAAGCAGTTATTGCAGACAGGTAGCCTCATCAGAAGAGAAACTGTACTCGCCAGACTTTCCAAACATCTTTCTCTGATAATGTCTGCCATGTATTGAGATGAAGCCTGCCCTGATGATGTTAATTATAGTTCTCTTTGGTTTCAGGGTAACTGCCAATGTGAGGCATGGGCGGATAAATGGAACACAGTGGTCAGTAAATAAAACACAAGAATCTTTGTGCTTGAAAATTCTATCTAGGCAAGTTTTGTTTGTAAGTAGTCACACAAGGAATTGCCCCAAAGTAAAGAAACAGGTAAGTATAGAATTTTGAGTGTTAACTACAAAAAAATCTAAAACCTGGCTGGTTATATATATTGTGCTTGTGACTATAGAGCCTTTAAAATAATACCCGGGTCCCTAAAACTGTACCAGTCTGTGAAGTGTTCTATGAAAACTCTTCTTCATTAATGCTCATTTCAGAATGAGTCACAAAAGTAATGAATAATGAAAAAAACATTTGATGGATTATGAAGAGTCTCTCGCACAGAGGAGAAGCAGAAAGTAAAAGCCTTATTCTACCTGGGTGAGAAATGTTAGCTAGTCCTCGTAATGGGTTTTGATAGTTGTTCTGAGTCAGTGCAAGTGTTTTCTGTTCTTTTTTTCTGACTGGGAAGGTGGTGGTGGTGGTGGTGGTGGTGTGTATGTGTGTGTGTACATACTTGGGTATGATGAGTCCAGATATACTGTTTAGCAGTTTATATGTCCTTCCATAGAAAGAATCAACATCCAAATCAGATGGAAATAATTAAACATTACTCAGAGAACTATTTTGAATCAAGATTTTGAGGAGCAGGGGAATGTCACAGAGATTACTAGTTACCTATCCAATACCCATTCTCCCTATATTCCTTAGACATAGAATCACTCTGTTATTAGTGCCACCTTGTGCCCAGACCTCCATGAGGATGGGGAGATGATAAAAATATTAGTAGAGGAAATGAGTTAGGGCTTCTTGTAGATACCTTTAGAAGCCAATTCAGCTGAAGATGAGAACATTTCCCATTGCCCTGTCTTTTTCTGACTGGAATTCAGAAGTCACTATTGGAAGTCCTATTGCCTTTTGGTGTCCATGAACCAAACTTGAGGGTAGAAGCAATTGGTCAATAATAGAAAGTAAAAAGGAGTGTAATTCTGTGATTACTAAGGAACTGCCATGGCATCCCTGGACTTTGTCCTCACAGGTTTTACGTGAGTTTAAAAAATAAAAGTAGGGAGAGAAGCAATCCATTTGTTCCAGTCACTGACTGAGGAAGTCTCTAGATTAGATGCCAGTTTTGTTTCCTAATTGATGTAAGGCAGTTCTCTCCTGATAGCTTTTGTTTTATCAGTGAAATAAGAAACAAACTGCAGCTGAGAGGGAGTAGGATATTTGAAGGAATGGAGAGGAAAAATAGATTTTTAGGAGAATGGGAGAATAAATTTACTAAGTATGTATGACTTACTAAGTATGTATGACTAAGTATGTATGACACACACACACAATACAATGCCAAGCAGCCTAAAAGCCATCTAAGTTAAGTCATGGATTTAGATTGAAACTAGTTGGCAAATTTGTGTTTTTCATGTGCCATAATTAGCTAGAAAAGACAGAGAACTGGATATAATCACTTGCGGCTTTGTCAGGCAGAAAGAGACAAGAGTGTGACTCGTTATTAATTGTTCACATTCCATATGTATCACATGCAGAAACATCCTAGGAAGCTATATCTTTTTGGATGTTCACCATTATTGCTATGGAACAAACCTACTATCCTATTATTCTGGCCTCTTGAGAGTTCATTGCTCCTCACAGCTACCCTTTCTAAGTCTAACTCTATTAGACTTACTAATGCAACAAGTCAGTGGTTTATTTACTTTCTCTCAAAAGGTATGTAGACATGGAAGGCTCTCAAGATGTAATTATATCCAATCTACCTATTCACACACACATAATTCCTTATAAAATTCAGAGGTATCAATTACACTTATGGGATGAAACTGTCCTTTATGTTGCTTTTATTAGAGCACTGAGAACTAGTTTACATTAAAATTTTGTTTGGAAACATTGATAAAAGACTTCAGTGAAAACAATCATTCATCTACTTGCCCTCTCCCATTTTGCCTTATTTAGTATGTAGGTTTTACCTCTTACATTAAAAATTATATAAATTCTAACTCTCATGTTACTCATCAATTCTTATATCCGAAATTAGTTTCACAGTGTTGAAATTAAGTGTGTTTAAGTTCTCCAATGATAAAAAAGAAAACATGTGAAAAGTTTTCCTTAATTTAGAATAAAGCAGAATTGCACTTTTTAAGAAACTCATGTTAGTCCACTATGACTATAGCATTTAACTAGATTGAAGACATCTTAAAAAAAAAAAAAAAACAGGGTTCTCAGGATTTTATTGCATGAGGAACTGTATGCTCCGATATATAGTGAGTTTGATTGCTCTTAAGTGTTAAATTGTTGAAACAGAAACAAGACAACAAACCAGTGCATCTGTACCAGGAAGAAGTTACATATTGGCTATATGTGCTGGCTGTATATTTTCTTAATCATGCAACAGTAACTCAACATTTATTCATTTACATACATTTCTAATATAAAGAACACTTTTGAAAATGCATCTTAAAAAATCAAGTGTTGAAAGTCTAAAATTATTGAACATATTTTTAAAAATTCAAAGCAGAAATATATCTCTTTATATACTTAGTTGAGAATATTTTTTGTGTAGATGATTAAAATTTTTTAAAATATATCAAAATATGATTTGACAATAGCTAAGACTAAGAATGTCTGACTTCTGCAAAGTGGATAAATAAAGTAACATCTATAAATAATAGGCTAAATATTTGGCTAAAAGCTCCCTGAAGAGAATAATAGGGAGTTAAATTAATATCTAAAATGGTATTCATTAGCAATAATTATTTTAATAATCACTGCTAATCACTTAAAATTTAAGATCAGTGAGGATTAATGAGATCATCAATTCAAATTTGTTATAGGTTTCGATAAAATTTCTTGACTTACTGGGTAAATATTATGCATGAAATTATACATCTTAAATTTAGTCAGGAAAAATCAAATGCTTGGGTGTTTTTTTGTGAAAATGAGAAAGAAAATCAGACCTGGTAATAACCCAATTAGGCTGATGTTAATGGATTTTAGGCATCTGTAGTTTAGAAGATAATACTCAGGATTCAGAATTTGTGAATTAGAAAATAAACTCAGACCTAGGTTTAGGTTTATCTTGCCATTCAAATAAGTTAAATATATATATATCTATACACACACACACACAAATACATATTCATATATATGTATCACTTAAAATAAATATTCAATATAAATGAAAAAATATGTAACTTCATTAAGTTAAAAGGCAACAGTTTAAAACATAGAACATTACTGAAAACATATACCTTTAGTTTAATGAAAACTCATTTCATCATACTTGCTTTTCTCCTTTTACTGTGGATACGTAAAATCTTTGTATGACCAGGTACTGATCAAAAGTTACCATTTGGGAACTTTGAGGAAACGTGGCGGAGAGAGAGATGTCTCCAGATCTCTCCCCTCAAAACAACAATAAGCTGAACATCTAAAACTCAACAAAAAACACCCAAACTGCACACCAGCATGTCTGAGTGTGGGATCTGTGCATAAGAGCTACCATAGGTCAGAACCCCAGGTGTCCAGCGGCGGACTGGGAGAAATAAAGCAGGAGGAGGGGGAGGGGAGAAGGTGTGGACTTACCTGAACTGCCCTGCCAGGGAAAGCTGTGAGCTCCCAGTGGCCGGCCTGCAGCAAGGCCCAGTCATCAGGGCAGAAGGCAGAGAAGCGGTATAGGACCGAGAAAAACAACAGTTGATTTTTACTGGCCACAGTTGCAAAATTGAGGCTGAGCTGCAGCCCCTAACCCCCAATTTAGAGGGCCCCTTCCCCTATACCCTTGGAGACTGATCACCACGGAGCCCCAGGGGAATTTGAGCAAATGCTGCTGAGACTGTTGCTGACACTGATAGGGACTGAAACTAATGTTAACGAGCATGATTAAATATTTACAAGAAAAAGAAAAGGCATTTTTAAGGCTTTCTATAAAGTAGGGATCCAAGAGGCTTAGACACCACCTACTGGAAACCAAAAGAAAAGAGTCTTCTTTGCAACAGAATAAAAAGAGACCTTTATATAATAAACTTTCTTTCTGGAAAAACAACAAAATACACTTCCATTATTACTCAGGTGGAGAAATAGCCCATTAAACACTATGAACAACCAAGATGACAAGGCATCTCAAAAGAAAGAGAAAAATCTCCAGAAAATAAGCTTACAATATAGAAATATGTAACTTAAATGACAGAATTCAGGATGGTACTTCTGGAAAAACTCAGTGAGTTCCAAAACGAGTCATATCAACAATTT